AAAAATCGGGGCGGGGGGGGGAGGGGGGGGGGTCTTTTGGGGGGGGGGCTGAGGACATATACCATGCATCCCCGGGGTTTATGCCGAGGCGTTGGCGCTTTGGCGTGCCGCTCTATCATGTAGTGTGCATCACCGCTGGCGCTGCTGGCGCTGTGGAGTTGCGGAGACCGCAGAGAGATGGCGGACACCCCGCACACTGCAGGGACGTCTTCGCAGCCGTCTCGTGCATACCCCCATGAGAATCAAGGAGCAGGCGGCAGCCCGCCAGTCGCTCGTGTGGCCGATTGGTCAGAGCAACATGGATGGCAATGTCGCACGTGCCAGCACATATTCGGCAAGCACACGGAGGGCACCCGACACGCGGACGTGGATCGTCACGAGCAGGGAAAAAAGCACAGGTCAGTGGCACCAGACAGAACTGGTTTCCGCTAGTGCAACCAGTCTCGTCTTTGTGAAGCATGGGCCAAACATGAGCCTGAAGCAATCGGCTGGAAACCATGGTTCGTCCCGCTGCAGGCGTGTGTTGCAGATCTCGTTTGGTACCAGTAGATCACAGCGGCGTCACCTCGAGTGGCATGCACGGGAGAGGTTATCACGCTGTGACAACCACTTTACCCTCAAATGTCGATACGTATACAGCCGCCCAAGCCGTTGGGTAGGTCTCAAGCTCAAGGATAACAGGGGTGCTTGATGTGGTGTGGTTTGTCCAAGCTTGGTTTGTCCGCTATATCCGTGGGTTGCCGTGGGTGGCATAAGATACCACCCCCCCCTCGACTGGTTTTCAAAGCTTGCTCTTGCTCAACTATATACTACACTCCACGAGGAGGATGCCAAGTTATTCGGCAGGACCTCGTCGAGGCAACTCCAACGCCTCGCCTTTTTTCGCATCGCCACTCTTTTTGTACTGCTTTGTACTGCTGTAGAGAGCTTAGAACATCGGTCCAGGGGGTGTGGTATCTTGTGTCACCTGCGGTAAGAGTAGCCTAAAGCTGGCGGCAAGGCACTCACGGAACATTGCTGGCGGAATCACCACAAACAAAACAATTCCACCTCGCTTCTTTGTCGCTACTACTGTACAGACTCCGTTCGGCTTGCATTCGCCGATGTTTACAGCAGTGAACTCAAGTTGGTGAACTAGGCCCTGACTCGGGGGATTTTTTTTGTTGCTGTTGTGTGCTGTATCAAGTTGGCTGTAACATCTTCGGCTGAATTTATACAGCAGTGTTGGCAAGCGTGTCAGCAACTTGGTTAGTTGGTATGTTGTGCGCAACACGAAGACTGCTTTGAATCCAAGCTTGTTATTGTACCAGCCAAGTTCCATCGTGAACAAAACTGCTGTCTCAAGTCTGTGTCTTCTGTTGACAAAGCATCATACCACCAAAGTCTTGCTTGCGTACCGGCACCTCAAGGAGATCGTTATCACGGCCGAGCCTGGCCCAATGGACGATGGGTGTTCGTGTGTATTCTGCTTATGGCCTGGGGAAGTTAGCTAACCGGCCACCGTCCTGCACGTGTTTTTTTCTGGCAGCTCCGCGATGACGCAGACAAGTGCGCCACCTCCTCCCAGCAAACAACCGGCGGTGGCAGCAATCGCGAAAAAAAATGGCAAAGGACAATGGATCTGCTCGTGTGGCAAGCATATCCAAAATGGTGACAGGTGGTCGCAGACAAACGTCGACCAGCATGCGAGGGGCCAAGAGCACAGGTGAAAGTCGCGGCGTCCCGCCTACTATTGACGATGTACTTTTTCGTTCACTGGTGTGCTTGGCTGGGCTATTGGTATATTGCGATAAAGGTCGTGCAGGCAAGGGCTCTAGATGATGACAGCTGACACAAGCGCTGCTTCATGCTCCCCCGTGCGTCATCCTCCGGCAACCTACGGTTTGGTGGGTTGCTATCAGAAAAGGAACTGCGAGTGGAGGCAAGAGCAGGCAGACTTCTTTGCTGTCCTTTGCGCAATGTGCGCCCCCTGTAATACACCCGGCTGCTGCGCCGGCGGCGGTGGCGCCGGCGGCGGTGGGATCGACGCCCGTGGCACCCGCGGGGGCTGCACCATCGTGCTCCACGGAGGAGGGGGGTCCCGTTTGGCGCGGATACGACCAGTTCGACCGGGGAAGCTGATGACGATGAATGCCAAGTGTTAGGTGTAGAAACACCGCCGGCCTCATCCACGGCGCAACCATCTACGACATCGACACCACCGCCAGCATCGTCCCTGACGACACCATCTACGACGACGAGACCATCATGTCGCGGGTACATGCCGCAGCTGGAGTTCCCCATGAGCAAGAACTACCCCTTCGGCTTGATCGACGCTGGCCAACCGTGGGTAACGGTGGTACGTCAGGGACATGTGGCTTTGTTCGCGACTGGCGCTGATGGAGGAGCAACGGCGGGGTGTGAAGGGACCGTCGCAAGCAACGGGGAGAGTTGTGTTCCATGCCAGGCACTGCAGCACCACAGGCTTGTCAAAGGTGAGGTGCAGAGAATTGCATAACGCCGCTGATGGGCGTAGTTTGTGATTGTCGTACGGTGCACTGTATTAGGATCGACTTTGTTGTTTTGCAATTCGCAATTTGGTCGAGCCCAAAATATGAACTCGGCTGTCTGCTGTTTTAAACGTTTCGAGTGAAACCATTTGATTGCCCCTCTCGACGCTTTGCTTCTTGGGTTAGGGTTAGATTGCACAAGGAACGACTGATGCCCCGGTCAGTGAGGAGGGTTCTGAGGACGGGGACGACGCAGATGAAGGAGAGCAGCGCGCACCCGTAGCCACGGAGGAGCCTGGACTCCTGGCGGGGGTTGAGCTAGATTCCTTCCTTCACGCCACCGAAAATGGGCCTGGCAAGATATCGTCCTTCTGCGAGGTCGATGGTAAGCAGATTCACAAGCAGCGAGCTTTGACGGAGTTCATGGGCACAGAGTTCCGGAATGCGTCGAGAGACCGGCTGAAGCGCGTACGAGCCTACACGGCGGGGCCATCGGGATCTAGTACCGGCTCACGCGGTGTCGGAAAGAGGGGGGGGGAGGCAGGCCGGCATTGACAACACCGATTCGCGAGGAATTGTTGTAGGGGACCCGTTTGCTATGTTGGTGGCGACCCCGGGAAGGAGCCCAGCCCAGTACGCCCTGGGCTTGTTCTCTTGCACGAAGGCCCCATCGGAGGAGCAGGCGCAAGATGGGGCTGTTGTCAAGGGTAGATTGATGAAGCTGCAATGGTCCAGTGTGGCGCCTGCAATTGCTGCAGATCGGCTGGAAGAGGGCGACGGAACTCCCTCTTCAGATATCGGTGAGGACGGTACGCCAGCTACGGGCTCGTGGCAACACTGGGGAGAACTGGGACTCCACAAAGGGGAGCTATCGTGCAAGTGTCGCCTCGTCTTGCCGTTGGATCCCGACGTAGTCGTGACGCCTGTCGTGGTCAAAGAGACCGTGACACGCACTGTCCTCCGCGAGGGGCCGATGGTGCAGGAGCAAGTGGAGATCGAGAAGAGTGTGGACCGAACCTCGTTTCGATTTGAACTTGCCGACCTCACCGCCGTGAAAGATATTCTCGTGGACGAGGTCGACGCTCTGAGCGCTTGGCGACACCTTCCCGCGCAGAAAACGTCTGGCGTAGACGCCAATCCCTTACCACTCCACGAGGACCTGTTTCATGTTCAGGCTGGCGCATTGGGCGTGGCCCCGTCGGGGGGGTTGGGCTCCGAGAAGATCTGCTGCAAACTCTGCACGAGAGAAGTTCAACGATCGAAAATGAGACTGCACGTGGGAGGTCACATTTTGAAGGACAAGGTGCGGGTGTTCTTTATTTTTTTTGGCATGGGAATGCAAGACCGGGTGAGATTTAACCTGTTTTGATACTGCTGTAGTGTGCAATGCTGTTTTGATACGTGCATGGCTTCGTTATTTTTCATTAGCATCGTATAGACTTCACCTGCGTGGCCTGCTTCACCCTGTCCCCTGTGTTATTATTTCGCGAGATGTTGGGCAACGGTGCTTACCGGACGCGCGTGGACTCATGCCGCATATTTCAATCCGGCGTGGAAATGTCAGCGGCACGCTCACGATCCATCCTCTCTCCCTTTTTGTTGTAGGCTTTGCAAGTGAGCACTGTCTGTGGCTTCTGTGGTGAGGTCGGGTGCCGCAGCACCATCCATGATCCACCAGGCAAGGCCAGGCCCCTGGTGCACTCGACCTGTCCATCAGCGCCTCGGAGCGACGCACGCCAGGAAGCCGTAGCTCTGAACCTGGGCAGTGCGAAGGCGGGCTCAGATACCTCACCGTGCACCAACATGGTCTTGAAGTGCCTCTTCTGCTCCCAGGACACCTACATCTGGAAGTATGGCATGTCCGAGCACGTCACAAGATGCCACCGGGAGGACATACTTGTGGCGGCGGGTACGACGGTAGATAGGTTCAAGGAAGCCTACACTATCTCGGAGAGCGAGAAGGCCAAGGTACTCCAAAAATTTAAAGCCGGGAGGCCTCGCCGACGTGGTCAAGGAAACGAAGCCCTCCCCACTGGCGCACTTGGGAGCACGGAAGGGAACGGCACTTTCGGCCGTAACATGTCCGGCACCCGGTCCTTGGAGGACATGGGCGAGGAGGAAGAGGAAGAGGAGGAGGACGAGGAACAAGACGACGACGACGACGACGACGACGACGACGACGATGACGACGACGACGACGACGACGACGACGACGACGACGACGACGAAGATGAAGACGACGACGGCGACGGCGACGACGAAGACGACGACGACGAAGACGAAGAGGAGGAAGAAGTAGAAGAGGAAGAAAGGCGGGCAGGGGGGGTGGAAGGCCAAAGCAAGAAGCGACCGGCTCGCAGAAAACGTAGCGAGATACCGCGCGAGAACTCGGAAGTAGGGGTCCGCGTGAGTAAGCGGGGTAGAGTGATCAAGAAAAACGTAACCCTACAAGACCAAGGCTACTCGTAGATTTGCATGACTATGTTCTCTGTTGTGCAGTGCTAGATGCGGCAATGGCAAGTTTGCAAGGCAGGTGGTTCGATGTATGGTTCTTGGCTGAGCTGTTCCGCTCATTTCGAGCTTTGGTCGATACTGTATACTTTCGTAGATACGAGACTATCGTACGTGTGTGTGTTCCTCTAGCACGGCTGGGTGAGCATGGGCGACCATCGATGACGAGCAGATGCGGAAGGGGTAACGACACACTGTTCCGCTCATTTCGAGCTTTGGTCGATACTGTATACTTTCGTAGATACGAGACTATCGTACGTGTGTGTGTTCCTCTAGCACGGCTGGGTGAGCATGGGCGACCATCGATGACGAGCAGATGCGGAAGGGGTAACGACAGCGAGGCATGTTTGCCATCCATCTAACCTTGCCTCATGGCAACTCATGGTAACTTTTCGACGGTTCACGGTAACTTTTCGAATTTCTCCCCCCTCCGGGGGGGGGGGGGGGGGGCCTATGTGTCTTGAATTTTTTTCTACGAGTACCCTTGGGACATCCTTTTTATTTTGTTTTTATTTTTCTCCCTACACAGCCAGCACAACAATGCGGGTTGAACTCTACTTCTTGCCCGCGCTAAACTCACGAACGCCATTTGGTCCACTCCCTCGTCTACAACCAGAATACGAGTGGACCTTATTCCCTGTCGCACCTACAACCTACAACACAAGTCTCAGCCACCAACAACCACCAACAACGTACGGTTGCTTCTAGCACCACCGCTACGACAGTCTCGCAGAAAGGTACAACGATGTGTCGTCCCTCTAGCATCTATTGATGTACCGAGAGCAAAAAAACAGCACGACCAATAAAACCCGCGAAAACTACTTCATTGGTCGTCATTTAGGCATTGCACATTTCTGGCGGCAGTTAGGGCACACCACTTTCGTCCCGCCTTTCGCCCACCCGCGGATGCACTTGGCGTGGAAGTGATGACCACAGGTCAAAACGATGGTCTTTTGGCCCCTCTCGATGTCGTCGATGCATATCGTGCACTCCAGGTATGTGTAGTCGATGTGGACTCGGACGGTGTTGGTGGTTGTGTTGACGGGTTTCACCAGATCCAGGGGTCGTGCTTGGATGAGCAGGTGGTCCCACTTCACCACTTTCTTACCGGAGAACCGGGTGTACTTGTCGGTTACCCTGCCCCACGACGAGCTCATGACGGTGGAGATACCGTCCTTCTTGCCCACGTACCGCCACATGCACTGGTAGAAGGCGCACGTCTTCGGCTCGACACCTTCATCGCACACAGGACAAGGCACTGTCTCCCCAGCCACCAGGTTGAAGTCCTTGTATCCGCGGGGGGAAATGACCATCTGACCACGGGCATCGCAGCGCTCGTTCCGGCACATTCCTTCGATGCAAAGCCCGGGTCTGATACGCCTCCACTTTGGCCCACCGCGCGAAACCTGTAGAGTTTGCATGGTGTTGGGGTTGGAGACGTCTGCGAAATCGCCGCCGCCGCCGCCGCCGCCACCCCTGATGCGAAGAACCAGGTGGACAAGGTTTTTCACATCGTAGTCTAGAGGGTCGATCGGTTGCACTCCGTAGTCGATAAGAGTGTTGACGTCCTCCATCTCTTTTCCATTGAAAATCAGGTGCTGTTGTTCCGAGGGGATGCCTTCGTCATCTTGAATTAACCCCTTCACGTCGCCTAAGGTTGATGACGAGGATACGTCGATAAATATCGTCTTCCCCGTGAGAGTCCTGATGCCGATTTGACGGGTATTGGGTCTAGCCCATTTTGGATCGACCCCTCTCGGATGCCGTAGTCGGACAATGTCCCCCCACGCAGTAGCTGCTGTTGTCCAACGAAGAGGCGGTTCGTCTGGGTCAAACTTGGGACCGCGATCTGGAGGATTTGCCGCACGTCGGCCTCCCCGTCCGTTGCATCTACACACACGTTCAATGCCTCGCCGTTCTGGTTCTGGATGGTGATGGGCATCTTCCGGACCTGCGAAAAGTATTGCGTGGGGCGAACAACATATTATTATTGAGACAAAGTGCTGCCTCGTGGGGAAGCAGGTCGGTCTGACACGTAGACACCAGCCAACCACTTGCACGTGCTCTCTGACGTGCTACTCGTCTGCCTCAACACGAGGTTTCTCACCTTGGGAGACAAAGAGCGAGTACGGTAGAGCACGTGGAACCCGAGTCCTCCATAGACTTCGGGTGCTTCCGAATCATCAGAAACAAGGAAGCCACCGTGGTACACCTGCGGTACAAAGAAAAAGGCAAGCACAAATTTCGTTCATTACCCACGTCGCCCATTGGCATCAACTTAGTCAAACCGGAAACTGTTTAGAAACACCAACAATGACGTCCACTCACCACGAAATATACGACGCCTTCAAAAAGTGCGACGAAATGTGGATCCAGAGACGCCGCAAAATTAACACGTCCTCCCTGTTTTACACTCTCACAAAGTGCTGCATTCAGCAGAGAGGGATCGCTCACATCTTAAAGATGGACAGTGAACAATACTCTTCACAAGCAATGCACAAGGCTAGAAAGAAACTACCACAGGGGGCTTTTAAAGAGGTGAATCGTTTCCTACTCCGAGGACCGCACGATAACTTGCCTTGGTAACCTCGGATACGCTGAGTTGTCCAAGATTGCATCGGAGGCTTGCGAGGATCCCGCGCTTCACCCTGTCCCACCCGTCACCATCGTTTACTTCCAGAAAAATTGGCGGAACCTCCGCGTCACTGATCGAGTTCGCCTGTATCAACATCGATCTGGGTGACGGGTGCGAGAAGTTATGAGGTGATCCCAACACATGGTCTCCCGATCAATTCTCAAACGCGCGGGCCAAGGACACATCTGCACCACTCACGGTGCACATCCACCCGAACAAAGCGGCCGCAGAGATGATATTCAATCAACGGTACATGTGCAATGGATCACACGCACACTTTCCCTGCACCAGGGGGCGTGGAGCCACTGTTTCGGTGTCCTCCGGTCACGCGCGCGGCACAAAAAGCTGTGCCGGAGACGTGACAAAGGCTCCGCTCACAGCAACTAACGCAGAACAACGCAGCACATATCCCATCCAACACACGCCCCTACACAGTTCACCATGGTTGTCGCGACACCCGTGTACGTACGAACCGCATATTTGAGACATATCAAACAAAACTCGGGAATCGTGTGACCACATCATCATCTACCGGTCATCTACCTAAACAACCATTCCTAATTTTCTGATGTGCGCCATCCGACTCACCGGTGGTGGTCTGTGGTGTACGCGTCCCGGCAAAGCAGCTAACGTCCCCCGCAGCGGTTGTGATGTGTCAGCCTGTCTCGCGATGACCTGAGCTGAGAGGGGGGAGGGAGGGAGGGTGTGTGGGTGTGGGGCGTCCCTCCCAAAAAAGAGGATATTCACAGAGCCAAAAATTTCAGAATTCGGACTTTTTTCGCTCTTTCAGGGCGGAGATTCAATTTTTAAAATTGGACGGATCTGAGCCGAACGGGTATGAAAATCCCCGAAAAAGTCCGACGCTTCCCCAGACTGTGTACGGCCTTCGAGATGGAGGTGTGTGTGGGCTCGAAGGGCGATCACGTGTTCCGATTGACCTGGGGTTCTGTGAACCCTTTTCAATTGGCCCCGTGCATCCACCCTCCAAATTTCAACAACCAGCTCTATCGTGGGGGCGAGAATTTTCTAGGCGGTGCTCGACGGGGAAAGTTCGGAAATACAACGGGGGAAATACAATCAATGACCCGCGGAGCCAACGTAGTAGCCGATGCGCGTGAAAATTCAGGAGACGCAAGTGCTGGATCTACTGGTGATTATCCGCCAGGTTTCAGGGCCAAACTCCAATTCCTCGACAAGCGGCGGTGCATTGGAGGTGAGGTAGGGTTGTGGATGATGAAAAGTAAATGTATTCGGCGGTGTTTTCTTCTTGGGCATGAGTCATTCTCGGAACCGTTCGGCGGATCTTCAACAAGTAATTTTTATTCGCCGTTTGCCGACCAGTCTCCGAGAGACCCACCCACACGCACACAACCCAGCAGGCACCACACGCACAGCACGCGGCACCACGAAGCAAGGTGAGGGAGGGCGTGACACGGAGTGCCGTAGGTGCCCCGTACGCGGGGACATGAGGAGAGACTGGGAGTGAGACACACACAACGGTGAACGTACACCATCCTAACTTTTCTCACTTGTCCATGCTTTTCAACGTCGTTGACCATCAGATCTCACGGACCCCTCTTGGAAGAGCGCGCTCAACACACTCTTCGAACATCGACTTCAACTATGGCCCGCACTAAGCAGACGGTTGGGCTCGAAAGGGAGGCCCGGCGGCAGCGGAAGGATTTCGTGGACGGAGATCTTAAAAACCCACCCCTCTGCACTGCTGCAACGAACGGGAATGTGGAGTTAGTGGCGGTGCTCTTGGACAAGTTTGGAACCGACAAAAATTTAAAAGACGAGGATGGTGACGCAGCCCTGATAAATGCAGCCCGGGAGGGTCACCTGCCTGTCGTGGAGACTTTGCTGGCCGCTGGCGTCGATGTCGACATCACCGACGCCTACGGAGCTACTGCTCTCCACATAGCGGCCAACATGGGGTTTGATGGGATAGTGGATGCCCTCTTGAAAAAGGAGGCGGGAAAGGATACACGCGACAACAAGGGTGGGACCCCATTGATGGAAGCAGCCTACCGAGGCAGTCTGCCTGTCGTGAAGACCTTGTTAGACGCTGATGCCAACGTCAATCTCGCCGACAAGACTATGTCCACTGCTCTTCAAGAAGCTGCTAAGGAGGGGCATGGTGGAATAGTGAGTGTCCTCTTGGACGCGGGAGCGGAAAGGGATGCACGCGCCCCTGATGGTTCCACCCCGCTATTGTTTGCAACCCGTGAGGGTCATCTGCCGGTCGTGGAGACCTTGTTGGCTTTCGGTGCCGATGTGAACATCGCCGACTTCGAGAACGGGTGTACTGCCCTCCACATAGCTGCCAAATGGAACCGCGACGACATAGTGAAAGCCCTTTTGGACAGGGGAGCGAAAGAGGATGTGCACAAGAAGTTCGGCAATACCCCGCTCATGGTTGCAGTTGCTTTTGGCAGTATTCCTGTCATGAAGACCATGCTGGCCGCGCGTGTCGACGTCAACATCAGGGGCGATTACGGAAGCTCTGCTCTCCACCTATCTGCCGACCGTGGACGTGACGATGTAGTGGAGTCCCTCTTGGACGCGGGAGCGGACAAGGATGGGTGCGACGCCAAAGGTTTTACCCCACTGATGGGAGCAGCCCATCGGGGTCACCTGCCTTTCGTGAAGACCCTGTTGGCCGCACGTGCCATCGTCGACATTCGAGATTCTAATGGCAGGACTGCTCTCCACTTTGCTGCCCGTGCTGGGAAGAACGAGGTCGTGCGTGTTCTCTTGCGCGGGGGAGCTGACAAGAATATGGGGGATATTGGAGAACAAACACATCTATTTACTGCCGTTGAGCGAGACCATCCCGCTGTCGTGAAGATCTTGCTGGACGCGGGCGCCAACGTCAACACCACCCGCTCCGACGGATCGAGTGCTCTACACGTTGCCGCCGAGAGAGGCATGGAGGATATCGTGGACCTCCTGCTGCGGTGGGGGGCGGACGAAACAGCCCTGGACAAAGACGGCAAGACTCCCGTGGATCTCATCGAGTCAGAGCCTTCCCTGGGGCCTCTGCGCCTCCTGCTGGCCCGGGCTCCTGCCGACAGGGCGTGGCGCCGTCGGGGCTGGCTCGTCATGCTTCGTTCGCGCACCCTGGAGGTGAGGGCAGCTGGTGGCGACGGCGGCTCGGGTGGTTCAAGTGGCGACGGTGGTGCTGCGGGGGCGCGCTCGGTGAAGCAGCGGGGCGGGTCTGACGAGGAGACGAACGAGGTTGGCAGCGAGAAGGGGAGCTTTGACCTGTCTGCGGCGGTGGCGCAGCTTGGGCTGATCGAAGAAGGCGTGTTCCGCAACGTTGTCTGCTTTCTGTGAGGACCGGGTGTACTTTTTGTAGTTCAGACAAGGCCTATCTCTGTGCGTGTGGTGTTGTTGTTGTAGGTGGACAAGGAGTATGGTCCAATCAGCCTGTCTCTGTGTTCAGGGCCTCGGCTTCGTGTCGTTGGTGGGCAAGGAGTACGGTCCAATCTGCCTGTCTCTGTGTGTGTGGTTTCGTTGTTGTTGGTGGACAAGGAGTACGGTCCAATCAGCCTGTCTCTCTTTATCGTTGGTGAGCAAGGAATACCAAAACAAAACACTTGGATCGACTACACTCGGCGCAACTGTTTGGCATGACAGTCCCTTTGCCGTTTCAAAAAGGTTCAGCAATCCGCCGCATCTGCTTGTCAACTAAAAGCGGCGCTGCACCGTCACGCCCCGCATACTTGGTGTTTCATGCGACTCTCGCTGTCGATGAGAGAGCGCTTCACACAAGTTTCGGTCGTGCCCGAGAGAAGTGCTGGTGCTTCTCGTGCATTGTCTTTGCCTGTCTTTGTCGTGGGTGCCACAAGCCGACAAGGTCCAGAAGGCAGAAGGAAGGCCACGTGTGCCTCGCGTGTCACCACAAAAAATCGAAGTCCTTTTTATTTTGTTTTTTTATTTTCTCCCGACAGCAAAAGCACAAACCACCCCTCTTGACCGCGGTGCTACAAATCCAAACACACAACGAAGCGGGTAGAGCTCAACTTGTTGCCCGAGGTACTAAACACCCGTCTCGTGCCACAAATGCCACTCGTAGGAACAAGGGTGGTCTTTACGGAAATCGTACAAATTCTTGACCTTTTTGAACGCACCGAAAAACCCATCGCAAACATCTGCGTCTAACTTTTCCAGCTCCGGCTTAACAGCTGGTAAAAACATGCAGCCCGGTTTGCCTTTCTCCCTATTCAGCTTGTACGCTAAAGTACCTTTACCAAACGTCGAATTCACGTCCTTGACCTCCTCCCTCGCCAGTCTATTGAAAAGCACGTTCATCTTCTGTAGGTGGTGCCTCTTTTCTTCCTGTTTCTTGCAGTGCCTCTCTGTGTACTCATTCTCACTCTCCTTCTTGGGCTTTTTATCGACGGGCAACACTATATCGGCCACCGCTCTCTTCACCCCCGTGCTACGAGGCGGGGCAGCGCGAGGTTCCAACTCCCCCCCCATCTGCATGACTCCTTGTGTACCACTACGCCCCTGCATCTTTGCCACTCGGATCCTCGCTAGCTGTTCCTCCATATCTGCCTTTAGGCGCAAAGACCGAAGTTTATCATTCTCATCGACCGGTGACACACCCACACCCCCCCCCGATTCGATCGAACGGTCGTACTGGACAATCCTACACTGCATTCGCTTCTTATACTCCTCCCGTCGAATATTCAGATTTTCTGGATCGTCTCCGAACAGTTCCGCCCCCCCCACCACGTCACTGACACCCGATTCATCGTAAGAGTCGTGGAGCATCGCTTTCAGAGTCTTTTCTTGTGCTACTTTCATGCCCTGCTTGTCCAAAGGACGATTCGAGTAGTCTTGAGACTGCAAGATCCCTGCAAACACAGCACCTATGGAGTTCGGGTCGTCCTGTACCATGTCCATTGTGTGTCCATTGTACGCCCTTTTCCTTTCGAATTCACCGTGCCTTGCTAAGGCAAAGTGACGAACTAACCTCATGTCGTCGTAGTGGATACCTATCTTATAACACACCTCCATAACATCGGTGACATGGATGGAGCGGAGGATATTCGGCCCGAATGCTGGCAACCCGAGATAGTACTCCCCCACGTACTTGTACATGTCGTTGAGCATGCTTTGATCGTAGTTTTTGCCGTATGCGGTGAATGTGCAAACTTTATCTCCAAGCTCCGCATATCCAATCTCTCTCTGATCTCTTTTTTCTGCTTTAGCCCTATCTTCTTCGTTCTTCCTCTCCGACTCTGTTGGCGCGTACTCAGTAAGTTGTCTCTCCGCCGCGGCCAAGATTTTACGAGCTTTTACGACTCCATCCTTTGTCGAGTTTCTCACCGCATCGGCTAAGTTTGTTTGTGCTTTTTGCACCTGAGAACGGGCATCCTTGTAGTTGGCTTCCAGGTGCTTCCTCATCAGTCTACGTCCGATGACCATCATGACCGCGTAGGGGCCTGTTGTGTTGGGAAATGTCAATTATGCGAACATCAATAGATTTGGTATGTAAGAATATCACCGGGTGACACAAAGGGGTTTAGAGATGACGAGTCGGGACCAACTGTAGTCGAGCCTTCGCAACCAATACGAGAAACGAAGCCAATACACACCTACCTTTTGTCCTGTCGCTCTTCGCGTGGGTCACCACCAATCCGATATCGCTTTTCTTCAAGGCCTCTGAGTTTTTGCACTCCGGTGGCAAAACGAAGATGAGCCGCGTTCCCTTCACGTACACTTGGCTCGCCAGGCACCCCAACCAGTCTTGCGGACGAAGACAAGCTGCTGTCAACGAATCGAGGATTTGCAGACCCTGGCTGAAAGAAGCCAGATCCGACGCGTCCACTCCCGAGTCCCAGAACATACCGACGACAGCATCGATCTGTGCTCGGTACGAGTCGGGGTACAGATGGTCCTCGTCCAAGCGCTTCCCGAGGTACCTGTGCAGAATCGGTACAATGAGGACGTGAAGATTGGAGAGATACAACTTCCACAATATGATACTCTATTATGCCATGCTTAAATAGGCTACCACAACATAACTTCACCTGTTTTTGTTGTGAGTGGCGTCGGACTTGTCCTCGAGGACTTCCATGCACATCTTGACCACCTCATCCCGGCCTTCAGCATCCTCCCCGATCCTGTCCATGAACGGAGCGATAACACTTTCCTCCACAGAATCCCCCAAGAACTTCAAGTCCTTCTTCCACTCGGCTCCTCGAGCTAGACGTCCGTTGTCGTATTTTTGACCATTCCCAACCCTCTTGAGACCGTTCTCGTAGTCTGACGCATCGCTTCTTTTCACGTTGGCCACTTCCTTATACTTTTCCCCAATCTGTTTGAGAACAGCTCTGTCTTGCGAACTGGTAGCGCTTACGTCGACGCCAGTTTTGAGCAAAGCAGCGTCCTTACGTGTCTGCGATGCATGACTCGTGTTCTCGGTCCCGACGTTGATTTTGCCGATCCTATCTGGCCTCGTATCTACAAACACCCGGTAAAGCGGAAAATGCTTCATCCACTTGTAGCACCCTGATTCCACACTACCAACCCTGGCCTTCACTAGTAGTGCCCTCACACCCAACCCGCACTCGCGCGCTTGTTGGCAGGTATTGGTGACGACTGTGTTTTCCCTATCGCACGACGCGCAATTGATCTCACTGGGAAGCTCGGTATATACACCCCCCGCTGAAACAGGAACCAAGCACGACTCAAAGCTAGTGGGGCGGCCAAGTTTCCACGCCACCTGTGCTCCTCTAATGAAGTGGTTGGCAAACTCGACTTGTCTTTTATGGAACTCTTCTCTGACATAAACTAAACCCAGTTCTTGCGTATCCTTGAATCCGTCTAACCCCAGCATCGTAAAGAAAGACCCGGCTTTCTCCAAATCTCGTACCAACTCGGGGTCCGATGGGGACTCGAGGATTTTAATCTCGTACGGCGTCATCGTGCTAGCGGAGGAAACATCCTGGATCTCTTCGTACGCTGTTTTGCGCATAGCCATCGTCCTATCTGCACTCTCTGACGGCAAAGTATACAGGTTACGTCTTCTCGTCACACGGTTTTCTGAACTAGTTGTATACCGCCGTACTTGGACGTTTACCATACACAAGACACCACGAAGAAACATACGTACGCGCCACTTGTCATCGCCTATTGTCACAACGTCCGGGTCACCGAAATTTTCGGCTAGCTCGAGCACATCGTACAGCCCGTGCTCTGTCGTTTCTTTTTCTCCCCACTGAACTGTAAAGAGACCGGAGCACGTTTCCTTGTCCAAAGAATACCCGGCCACAACCCCCTCCCTCCCATCGGAATCCCTCACTTTAGTCCCCTTCTCGTACTGCACCCCTTTCCCTCTCAGCCGCCTACCCATGACCGTGATCCCATAGAGTCGGTAGTCGATCTTCCCGAGTTTTTTCCAAGCCGTATCAAAATCACCACCCGTATCACCATCAACATCCATCAGAGCCGCCTTGATTTCGCAAAGTGTCAGATATCTATGGTCCGCCTTCGCCCTATCTCCCCTGATTTCTTCACGTAAATCCCTAGCTCTTTTCCTATTACCCTCCAATTGATCACGCAGCTTGTCGTCGTCACCAAAATTAACCAGACCACTATGCCTACCCGAAGGAAGGGGTAGACGCCCACGCTTGTTCTTGGGCGCACATATACTCTTTTTATTCTTTGCAGAGCTCTTCCGTGATACACTTTTCTTTTTGCCCTGTACACCACCATCGTCTCTCGTGGCACCACTCACATCCATGGAAACGCCATTACCGCCCGCTATACCACCGACGCCACCCTCGTCGCCATCATCACCACCCTCCCCACCATCATCACCGTCCGCCCCACCATCACCGGCCGCAACATCGCCCTCTTCATTTTCTCCCGTAGCAGCACTCTCACAAAGTAGCTCGTGCTCCTCATTTCTCTCCCTGCATTTGGGACACAAGTACTGTTGTACCAAAACATGGGCAACGGGGGAAGCGCGCGTACAGTTGTCACGTTGGTCACACTGGTCATTTCATGCACACTGGGGATCCGTTCAACCGTGAAAAACGGGAAAGTGGTCACGAAGAGGCAAAGCAACGACGCGGCAATGTCACACACACACCAGGAACTCACATCTCCTCTTGGGACGCTCTTAAGGTTGGGCTTGTCGCATTTCATGTGACAGGCACCCCAGGGGCAGTCGTCACCATCGCACAAGACAAGCTCGTCGCCTTTGGGACGGTCTTCCAGCTCATCGCACTCGCAACACGCAAGCTTTTCCACCCTCCGTCTTTCCGCTGCTTCTGCCGCATCTGCTTCTTTCTTCGCGGCTGCTTCATCTAGCCACTCCTTTTCCGCATTCTCCCGCTCATCTTTCGAATCGGCCATTATTTTGTTATATTGAGCTTGTGACCATTCTCCACTTTCCAAGAGCACCTTCCAGCCTCTCATCTTAGCGAGCCAGAACATGTGGGGTCTCTCAAGAGCAGGTGCCGCAGACGTAGTACCACCGTCTTCATTGAACCTTGCCGGAGCCGGTGCTACTAAGCCCGACGCAGATCTCGTCGTCGTTCCGGCTGGCCCCGCGCCACCCCGGACGGACGCTAGGTCAATATTGCCCCCTAGCTCGTCCAGGAGCTCCCCACTGCGGAGCGACCGAGAGAAGACGATCCAGCTGGAGATGGTCAGGTAGTAGGAGAAACCCATCACTCGACCGAACACAGTACAGAACGCGAGAGCGATCGCGAGGTACGTTACTCCAGTCAAGGCAGCAGCAACGTTGTCCATGGATCCATCTCCCCGGGCGCTTGCTGGTGACCGTCTCTTGCTCATCAGCTTTAGTTTGAGGCGCAAAAGGGTCGCCAATTTGCGAGGGAGACTGATGCCGACGACCCCACCGTGTCTAGCCGGGCGATAGCGCCTTCCGCGAACAACTCTACACTTGCGAAAAATGCTCGGAGGACGGACCGTGAACACAGCGCCCGCGCCCACGTCGATCTGTCCCGTCGAACGAAGTAAAGAAACAAGAAAAAAAAGTAAACGGGGAGAGAAACGTAAGTAGTCAGCGCAGAAAAGCGATACAGATACGGGTTCCGATAGATGACCTCTAGTTTTGCTTTACTTGTACCTCGACGTTAAAAAGCTTCTCACCAGAGGTGTCTCGACTTCCTCCTCCCACCACTGCGAGACTTCCGCGACCGCCGCCACCGCCACCGAAGATCTAGATTGGAGTGCGGATGTAGAACCAATGGTGCTCTCAGTGACGGCCGTCAGTGCCATAGAGGTCCAAACGCGGGCGGATGCGGACCCGATCCCACAAAGAGCCGCCCCTCCGATGTAGCGACAGATCGATGTAACCCCATCACGAAAGATACCCACGGCCTTCGCGGCGCCGCGGGTGGAGTTGGTGATGACGGGCTGGGCAAGCTCACCAGCAACGGCAAAGGCAGCTCGGAGCGCCGAGAAAAGTATGTTCACGGACACGACCACTACGACGAGCGAAAGGATCTGGCCAGTTCCGCAGACTCCACCGAGCTTCACCTCTCCGGCGCTCTCATCCCCGGCATCGCAGCTGGTCATGTCGGTGTCACTCGCGGTGGCATCAGTCACCCCTCCGGCGCTAGCAGTTCTCGACGGGCCAAATGAGCCAAATGTGATGTCGTCGCGGGCGCAATCAGTGTCGAAAGGAGGGTAGCCCCCGCTCGTCGTAGTCTCGGTTTCCATAGACGGGTCAAACGAGCCAAATGTTATGTCGTCGCGGACGCTGGAGGTTGAATCCACGACGCCGGACACTACTTCCCTGGCGCCACCCGCGTCCTGACAATAATAGTAAAGAAAAAGGATACTCGGCTTAGTCCAATGGTATTTTATTTGTTGCCCTGTTACTCCAATGTGTGAGATATCACTAAAATAGTACTCTGCTCCCCTCGTGACTGACCTTCCTAACAAGCAGCGTGAAGTGCCCGTTATCGTCCCATCGGGCCATGTAACGCCGCGGCTTCGCGCTGAACTTCCGAGAAACAACTGGCACCACTACGTTGTCCTCTCGTACAACGACAATGTCGAAATCCAGCGCGAGCTCCTCGCCCCCCAAGAGTAAGAAGATGCCATCGACCCATCCCTTGGGGTGGCCCATCACGAACTCCCACAACGCCCGCGTCTTGATGGCGTACTTGGGATTCTGGAGCGCTTTGATGTATCGACCCTTGCGCTTGTCCCTTCCCCTGAAGGCATCGATGGTGTCAGCGCACAGAGGGTGACCTCGCGATCTTTCGACGACCCTCCTGCGAATCTCGGCCACGAGGGCAACCACATCCGGTGCAAGCTCTCCATCTACGGCGTCCCGAACAATCTCCAGTGGCATTCCTTGGTCGTGCATGTGAGCAGCGGCAAGGGTAAGCGGCCCGCATGCGCCGCTACCCACGATAGCGACTTCATCGTAGATGATCCCGTCGTCAGTCCGGAAACTGTGACCCATTGTTCACCTGCCACGATTCATGCACGGGCGGGGGGCGAAGATACGGATGCGTTGGAAATATCGTGAGAGGTGATCTAGCCAACAAACGGCCGGGGTCGTATGTTGTCTCACGTGACTTAGACCTACTGTGTTTACGTAATTGTACGCATAGTGGGGGGGGAGTGCTTTCCTTCAGAGTGTATTGATTTTAGGTACCTGTTGTCTGGATTTTAGTGTAGAGGTGGTGATGGTATGTCTCCTTATGTTTTTATGCGTCCAGCGCCCTCTTTTCATACAGTGTATGTTAAACGGCGTCCTTTTACGGTGTCGCCAAGCTGCTGCGAAAAAAATCGTGAGGTCACTTTTCGTGAGGTCACTTTTCGTGAGGTCACTTTTCGTGAGGTCAACCAGATATAGCCAATAAAACGCCATCCTGAGGCCGAAACCTCATGGAACAATACGGTAGATTGTGGGAAAGTGTTTTAGGGTACTGTACTTGAGTTTAGTGTGGGTATCGGGCATTTGCCATAATCTTTTAGATTGTACAAAGGCAAAAACCGAAAATCGTTCAGACGGCAAAAGACCATCCATGCATTGCTGCCGTTTCTATTGTTTTCGCGTGCGACAAGTCCCCCCAAGTCTCGAGCAAGCCTTGTGGCGGTTGTTGGTGAAACATAACAGTACAACAACGGCGGGGGGTCGGTATGCCAACATGAATTTTGCGCCACGGACCGCCCCCGTGTGTGCAGGTCGCCATTGTCACAAGCACAACTATATAGAAATTATCGAGTCCAGCGTCTTACACGATTGGTCCGTTCTATTCTCGTATGCCGTTCCCCTTTAAAAATTCGACAGGAGTCTTCCCGGGGCCTTCGTCCGCCAGGTGTCAAAAGCTTCGCTGGCTGTCGCGGTAAGTTCTACCCGTCTAACAACTATTATTCATGGATTTATCGTTAAGGACGACATGGTATTCGAGCACCACCTCCCCGGTACTCCTGCTTTCCGCTACACATGTTGCGCCTTTGCAGGCGGGCCTGTTGGCAAAGCTAGGAAAGTCGTACGTGTGTTGCCGCTTAGACTCACTGAGCTTGAACCGGTGCTCTTGTGCTGGCCTACGGCTAGATGGTCCTCGGAGTATGCGAGAACAACGCCAAACTGACTACGGAAGGCAGTGTCAGCGTCGGAAGTGGTTTCGGGGCGAGTGCCGTTAGGACGCGAGCTTCCACAGCAGTCGCCCTTCTTGTGCCCCTAGAGTGCCTCTCGTAGATGTTGTCTAAACCCGATGTCACGGGTTGCAGCGCTGCATGTGGTGTTCTTCTTGTGCGGATAACAACCTAAAACAGGAAGATGAGGCCAACACCCAGGGGACGGGAAACAGTATTTAGTGCGATGTTAAACCGAGGGACTACTTTTGAGAAAGCCCCGAGACACACGCCCTCTAGTTCTTGAGAACGCCTCCAGTTTTCGGCCATGCTTGGTGTGTTTGAGGGCACATGTGATCTTAAAAGCCTTGCCCTGGTGCCTACGAACTTCATTCAGCTGATCCGTTGAATAGAGGGACGCGTGACCTGCCTTGTTGTCGTGTGCGCTGTTGGGTGAGGGAACGAGCTCGGCGTTTCTCTCAGAGCGAACACCGGGGGGGGATGTTGAGGGACGTACTTGAGATTTGACTACTTGAGATTTGCCCGTGTTGAGTTGCTCATGGTGATGAACGTTCAGGAAAGCAGATGTATCAGCAGATGAATGCCGATGTATTGACCTCCTTCTCAGTAGGTCTTGGAAATCTCTAAACGGAAATGTTGGAGAGGTATTTCGTCTGAGTTCGCAGTTTCCGTGATCCAAAGGTTTCCATTCCTCACGATTGCAGGCTTTCGCCTTGTCTCAACGAGCGTTCACCCCCTCCTCCCACGACCGATGCCCTCTCGTCCACCTGCCCTATCCCCCCTCGTCCACCAGAGGCACTCGAACAAACAGCGCAAGAAAATTCTCGCGCTGCAGCTGACCAACAACAAGGTCCTGTCGACGGCCGCTTCTGACAAGGAGAGGTCGGCCCGGAGGGAGGGGGACCTCCTGGCAAAGGTGGACACCGCCGAGGACACCATTGCCTCCCTGACCGACACGGTGGCCGAGCAGCAGCTGGCCGCCGCGACGGAGTCCGAGCGGTTTGAACAGGCCCAGCGCCAGCTCGACAACAAGCTCAAGACTTCGAGGCGAGCCGCTCGAGCGGAGCTCGAGTTTTGTGGCGGGATCTCGCAGAGGTAGACAGCGCGTCTGTGTCTCTCTCGCGCTTCACCGTGGAGAAGACCCACCACGAAGATCCTCTCGCACCCATGACCTGGCCCGTCACAGAGGTGGCGGCATTGGGCATGTACGACCGCTCTGCGGCGCACGAGGCGTCGCAAAGGACATGGTGAGCTAACTCTCCAGCGTGCTACAATGCTTCGACGAGATGCTGCTGCATGGGTGGTTCCGGTGTACTGTTGTGTAGTGGCGGCTGGTTGTGCTGTTGTCTTTGTCGTTCGTTTGATTGATATTTATGGTGGTGGTGGTGGTGGTGGTGATTTGTCGACCCTATTGATGTTGTTGTTGTTGTTGTTGTTGTTGTTGTTGTTGTTGTTGTTGTTGAGGACACAGTTATCTTGATAGCGTCGTAGTCTATGAGTTTGGCTTTCAGGTTTCAGCAGAGCTCTCACTGAATCGTCTGCGAATTTTTCGCGCCCGACCCCTCTGATTCATGCCCATCAAATAGCCACCGTAGGATCACAGTCATGAGGTTAACGCCCAAGCCTGCTCGATATTCGCATTGATATGCCTGTTTTGTCTCAGAGTGATGGCTCGATCGAAAATCCAGTAAGTAACAGCAGCGTATGCCCCCTCCCCTCCCGCTTTCCCTACATGCTTTGGATCTGATGCAGCGCCCGCCTGGATGCCGTGCGGCGCATGGTGGATGAATCAGCATCGAGGTGGGAGGGCGACCAGGCGACGTGCCTGCTGAAGGAGGCACAAGGTAGGGACCGAGAACTCGAGCTGAACCGCCTCTTGGACGCGGGTGAGGAGATGCGGGAAGGACCTCGAGGACGACCTTGCCTTGTCTGAGGAGGAGGTGAGCACTCAACAAAGTACTTGGGGATGATAGCCATACATTCTCTGGCGGCACTGCTACTGTCTATATCGCATCCTAGCTCATGAAGAACCATCGACACGGCAACTCTTGTAACGCCCACCCTTCCTCCACCGCAATGTCTCCGCTGCCGTTGTGGCTCTCGATACACCTTCTTAGTTGGACAAGACTCAGACGGACCTGGATGCGTGCGCCGCGGACATCGAGGACATCCACTCTCGTTCGGTGAACCTTGTTCGCACCCTCCAGGAGGATGCGGCAAAGGCGGCAGTGCACGTGGGAGGTCTCGCCCCGGAAGTTGAGGACCGTATCGGATCGAATTACGACATGATCCGGTACGATTGTGTGGGCGTCGCGTTGATTTGTCTTGGGTTGTGTCGTGCCTTATGATGGTTGCAGATGACGTCGTTGCTGTAGATGATTGTGACGGTACAGTATCCGTTGTTTGTGACGAAGCTGTCACGCTGGGACCTCAGTGCCGGTAAGGACAGGTCGAGTCCTTCAACCCTCCCGCCACTATCTGTCTCGAGGAAGGTGGGCGGATCGAGGAGATGTCACTTGAGAGGTATGTGTTCATGACCCCCCCCCTCCGCACACGCCTCGGCTGTTTCGCTGCCGCACCTTTTAGCGCCCGCTTTGAGTCTGCGCAGCGGCTGGCATTGACGGCCACGTCGACGCTGGAAGAGGAAATCTTCACGTGCCAGGGCGAGAAGGCAGATGCCGTCGACCGAGAGGTCAAGACAGACGAGAACATGCGGAAGCTCAACGAGGACCTCTCCGACTGCGCAAACTACGTGAGCATCCGATAAGCGTGACCGAGCGTGAGATCAAGCACTGTTTGTCGCTCGGTCTGATGGTGGTATCTATTTTCTCGATTCTGCACAAGTTAAACACCGCTAGTTGCGTGCCTAGGGCGAGGGGAGCTGGTCAATCCCATGCCCCGAACATTCGATCTTGTACATAGCACTTTTTATTGCCAAACATTCTTTCTTGAAACGTTCGCGAGACCGTCGCCGGGAGAGGCCCTTTATTGGTTGGTATTCATCGTGGGGAACGGTGGCGGCATCGAGGGGCTACGGGCGGTGGATGATGCATTGGGAAGGGCGGCTACGCGGTCGTCGAATTGTTTGTGGTTGGGGCTACATAGACAGCACACGGTAAATAGCCGATCCCACGATAGCCATCGACAGAACTACTCTGAAATCTCAGCCCCCCACCTGTGCCACTCGATTGTTTCGTTGGTGTGGCTCTCATAAATCGCAGGCGGATGGTTCCCACAAGGCTTGGGTGTCGTGCACCGAGGGCCTCACCAGCGTCGACAGGGTTTCGCTGGACACCTATTTTTCCGTTGAGGAAATCACCTTGCAAGTGGGGGTGTTTGTCCCGCGCCGAGCGGCTTCCGACCTGGAGGCGTCAAATATCTTCAGCGTTGCGAACCGCGCCGACCGGGTGGAGGAGACGCAGCAAGGGGTCCTCGATAGACTGCGGTAAGCGTTTGTGCTTGGTCGATTGCAAGGGGAGAGTGCATGACATATCGTGCCATGGGTCCTTGTGTTAGGTAGAGGTTGCTGTTGTCGTGGTTGTCGTCGCTATTGTTTCTGTCTGTCTGTCTGTCGGTTGTAGATAGCTAGTCTGGCCATCCTTGTGTACGGTGAATGTTGACGTCGGCGTCATCGTCATCGTTCCTGCTTGTTGTTGTCGCTCTTGGTCGGCCACTACTGATGATACCCAGCAACTGCTTTGGCTTTTTGCTTGGGCTTTAGGACCTAATCCGCTTCCCTTCCCTGCATCCCCTCCCGACGCCCCCCGGTGCACCCGTGCGCATGTTCCAGCTCACAGTTCGAGGACATGCAGGAAATGTCCGCTGCCGTGGTGTCCAACATGTGTAGCTGTACGGGCCAGGTGAGTTATTGTGGCTGGTTCAGCGTTATTTTTCATGCCTTGCAGCGAACCTTGTTTCTTGTTCACCGGCCGTTCGACTCTTCACGAGTGGTGGGACCGAGGGTGCTACTTCGTTGATTGTTGGTCGTTGGGATTCTAGATTACACACCTCGGGGCGCTCGGGGCGTGATTGTCCCTACAGTAATTCGCTACTTTCGCCTGGTGGGGAGTAGGGGCGGGGCGAGGCGGGGGGGGGGGGGGGCGTACTCATTTGTTGCTTGCCGTAGTCATTTGACCATTGACCACGCGTCCCTTCCGAGACGGAGCACCGTTCCTACCCCTACTAGAGACGCCACCAACATTTGGGAGCTCTTTACGTTTCTGCCACAAACTCCATCAAACTTTCTTGCACATCTTATCCCCGTCCTCTAGGGCCTCTTGTATCCCCAATTATCGCGATCGTTTTTTCGCTGTTGTCTAATTTACCAAACTTGTCCACGTCACACCCTCTCTGTCTCATTTCCTCCTCGAGATCCTCTCTTTCCTTCCTGTACAACTCACACTCCCCAACTATGTGGGGTCTACTCTCCTCCGAATGGACATGTTTGTCTATCCTCCTCTTCCTCTCTCCCACGGCTGGTATACCTCTTCCTCCGTTCTGGCAAGTCAAGATCGCCTACTCGAAATTGTAATTTCAGCTTTTTCGCGTAGTCCATGGGGCCGTCCAAGTACGTCTTCACCCCTATCCCTTCTTTCAACTTCCCGTATATCTCCAAGTGGTCTTCGCTTCGTACCTTCTTCCGAAGGGTTGCCTCCTCCCTACTTTCTAGCATCTCTTTGACTTTCGTCTTGAACCCCCCGAACCCTTCCGCGTGGCGAGGCGGGGGGGGGGGTTACTTGGAGGAAGTCGTGATGGCACTTGAACAATGATGACGACAACGCAAGGGAGACACCAACGCCGTGGTAGGGACCTTGAACAAATTGTTGCATCGTCGATGACTGCTGATGCCATGGTAGGTGTTGGCGCCACTCTTGTCTCAAAGATCTTCTCCGTTCGTGTGTACGATGATGGTTTGTTGTCGTCGTTGTGGTTCGCACATACACCGGCAACGAAGACGGAACACGGCAAGAGTTCTTAGAACCGTCCGTTCCCTAGTTGTGCCGCCCCATGGCAAATGCTTAAGGCGAGCCAAAACCGAGCAACCTCCATCCGTCATAGCAATGACACCGGGTAGTTTGATCGCGTACCTTGTATTTTTTCGCTGGACAGGCCCCGGACGATTCAGAGGAGCCATCTGAGGGGAACGGCAGCGTCAGCGTCAGTGACAGCAGCGGTGACGTCAATGATACGGGCGTGGACGTGGGCAAGGACAGCACGGCCTCAGCCGGAGATGGCACGGCGGTAGACCGAACGGAGGCTGACCATGCCGGCAACGAGGAAGACGTGGACGGGGAAGAGCCTGACGCCCACCGCATTGATGCTAACCCACCTACGCTAGGCGGGGTTTGACCTGTCTTGCCTTTCAGTGATTGTTGATTGATGTGGGGCAGTTATGCCTGCTTTCAAGCGTGGGTTCAGCGTTGTGTCCTCCGTAGTGAATAAAGTTCGGACCCTTTCAGTCCTGGGCGTCGTTTTCGTTTCGCGTCTTGTTCTTTCTGTTTGGTCTCAGGTTTGGATATGTACTTTGTGTAACCTGCATGTTTGGGGTCGGGATCTTGTGCGTCCGTTTTGGAGACGCGGTCTTCGACGTGTGCCTGCTCTTGGTGGTTGTGAAACCACCCACACACCTATTCCACAACCCCATCGACTAGAGCCCCAAGTATAGAGTGGGCACTGCGAAGAGAAATTGTGGCGTATAGTATTCGTTGTCGGCCCTTCCTTTCAGTACACATCCCTCACCTTAGCACGGCGAATGCCTTCGCCTGGTTGTCGTGCCTTGTAACGGCCTTGGTGGCCTCATCCATCGCGGCTGATCGGAAGCCCTTCGTGGTGGCTTCGTCGACCAGCGCGCGGACAAGTGCGATGTCCGAGGGGGGTGAGCTCTTCATGGCCTTCGTGAGCTTCCTGGTGAATCGTTTCTCGTCCTGATTGGTGTTATTGAGCGAACGGGGGAGTTGTTTTCTCAATGACACAGGTGCAGCAACCACAACAAGATGGCGTGTATACGGCGAACATGTGTATGGCTATTGTACCTGCTGTTGGCGGGTGGGGGAAAAGTGAGGAGGTGGACTAGACTAGACTATTCCGTGCTGGGAGGTTCGTTCGATCAGGCTTCGTTCGGATTCGTTTCCGACACTCCCTTTCAAGGTTGAATTGTCGCAAGCGCATCAGTGATCACGTTTCATCGAGCAGATGACCACATCGCATCAAGCAGATGACAGCACTGCTGTAGATACCATGATTCGAATTTCAAATTTCAAATTTCCTACTGGTACAGCAGTATGGATAAAACCGAAACAGTTTTGAGCGCAGGTACTGCCGCAAGCGTAGGCGTCCAAATCGCTTAGTGGCTGCCGTACAACGCACAATACAAACGAATCGGAGAGAGAGAGAGTTTGCGCCCCCCACCGTCCAGCAAGTTGTACACTACAATGAGTCAGGGCGTGCTTGACTTTGAATACGTCTTGGTCGGAAGGAAAGCCGGGCGGCACGGCTGTTCACAAGCATAGCTGCACTTGCCCCAAAAAGACAAAAAAGCCACGCATATCGGGCCAAGTAGGCAACACACAACGAGTGGGTAGGTCAACAAGTAGCCTGGCAGGAGGGCTGGACCCGAATATACGAAACCTCTCCATATTTTTCTCCTCCTCCCCTCTATTTTACTCGCTTTCTTCGCGAACGTCCGCTGCAGGCCCAAGTGTGCTTGAAAACATTTTGGGGCTACCACCAGGCTTGGCGGCCTGTAGGATTGCGGCTTCTTGGGCGGTAACCGCCTGTAGAATCGCTGTTTCCTCTTGGACATCTTCGATGCCATCGAAGATGTCCACGAGGAAACAGCGATCCTCCAGGCGGCCACCGCCCAAGAGACCGCAATCCTCTTGGCGGCCAAGCCTGGTGGTAGGCCCGAGACGTTTTCAGAAACATCTCCGGTTTCCAGCGGGCGTTCGTGAAGAAAGCGAGTAAAAAAAAGGAGAGAGGACGAGAAAGCCCTGGCCGATTAGGCATGCCTGAGGGCTTGCCTGAGGGGCCGTTTTCAGGGAGGCGTTGCCTGAAATTTTGTGTGTTGTCTGAAATGTCTAACGAAGCACGTGGCAGCTGCAACACCTCGAAACGGCCGCCAGGCAAGAGCCAAAATATCGACAACAACCCCCACCAAATTTGGCATTCAGGAAGCTAGGGACTCCTTCAGGCATCCTAGAAGGCCAAAATACGGTACACCCCCCCCCCTTCCCCCCCACCCGTACTGACAAAACAGACAAAATGACACAGTAATACAGTCACAGCCAGCGTTGCCTGCGGGCTGTAGCCAAGATACACTGGAGGATGGAGGCCACCTGTGTTAAGCACCATGCCATGTCTTTTTCGATCCTCAAGAACTCCAAAACACAAGAAAATAAACTCAGAAACTCAACGCAACTCCAGAACAATAGTCTCACTGGCTAGACATCAATACCCATCCCCGGTCGTATCAGATATACTTCTTCGAGCTTCAGTGAACTAATTGCCCCCCAGCCTAGAACATCATCCATTGACAAAAACCATGTGCAAAAATGCAAAATGTTGCCACCCTAGTTGTTTGATCACACACAAAATAAACCCAAACATCAAAATATTAATCCATACTCATTGCGAAGTTACGATGAAATTCAAAATTTCCCACGTGAAGTGCCTTCGTGAGGAAGTCAGCATGTTGATACGCCGATTCCACGTGAAAAATCGAAATCTCCTTACTGCGTACCAAATCCCTGATAAAGTGGTGCCTTACGTCGATGTGCTTCGAGTTACTGTTGCTAGTCGGGTTCTGAGCCAACTGAATAGCCCCCTGGTTATCCTCGAACACCGGAATACACGGCATATCTGCTTCTGGCAACATGAGACGCCATACTTGCCTCAGAAACAATGCTTCCTTCATCACATCCGCAAGAGAGACATACTCCGCCTCTGTCGTGCTCAACGTAACGCACTTCTGCGTCCTTGAAAACCAAGAAATACATCCCCCCCCACACATCACCAATCCTCCTGACACAGACCTACTATCGGCAGCCTTACTTGCATAGTCTGCGTCTGCGAACACCTCCATGCTCAACCCTGCTACATTACCCCTCCTGAATGCAATACCCAAGTCACTATTAGTCCTTACCACATACATACATACCCCAAAATACCAAGACCTGCTCTCCAATGCATTTCTTTGGGAGAAGCACAGTACCGTGCTACCGCTCTCACTGCGTTCGCGATATCTGGCCTCGTTTGCGTTGCCAGCCACATCAATGATCCTATCAGCTCACGAAAAGGCCTTGATACCACTTCTTCATCCTGGTCAAACTCTGAAAGCTTCAACCGTACAGGAAGAGGAAATTCCTTCCCGTACACTACCCCAAAGTCCATCCCCAACTCTTCAGCGTACGTCTGCTTCGAGGTCTTCAAAGTCCCTGCATCCCAATTTTCCAAGAATAAAATCTCCTCTACCACCTGCCCCCTCAGGTTGTGATCGCTGTTCACAACCAAACATCCTGTGAAAACCCCGAAAATAAAATCCTACTCGTTCAGGCTCGACCTCGTACTCAAAAAAAGAACACAAAGCCGAAGCAACACAAACCAAAGCCAAAACAATGAGAACACCAAATAAGAAAAGTCACACCATTTGTCACACGAAGTATTTTTTCCGGCCCATCAACCCCAGCGCTTTCATCCATCCCTCCTGCCACTGCTTCTTCCCCGCGGTAGCCACCCTCGCCTCTGCCGCGGCCACCCTTTTCTGCTGGCATCGCCGCGGCTCGGGCTTCATCAGGTGCCACGTATCCGCCTGGGTGGGGTGTGTGCAGCTGTCTCTCCGGAGGGATTGACTCGGCAGTGCAGGGGAGATTGCGCATCCGAAAGGGAAAGGCAAAGGCAAAATCAGTCACCCAAAGCGTCAATTCAGCACGTGGCACTGCTGGGGAGAATAGCTTGCAATACGCCCCCTGTTCTGCGCAGCAGTGATCGTTGTCTTTCGCATTCTGTTCGACATCATGGTTACCTATCAAATCGAACGCCAATCTACGACTGAGGTTAATTACTCCTCTTTCGTAAAAGTGACACAACGATTCTTGTTATTTGTCTGACAAGGTTAATTATTCCTCGGTCACGCAAACAACAATGTTGGATCCATGTTAGAGCTTACACAGCTGTGTTTCTGATCAACAACCCAACACATCTTCTTACTGGTGTGCAACCACTGCGCTGCTTTCGTGCATACAGTGTTCTGGTACGAAATGGAGATCATCTCCATGTATTCCTGTCGGTTACACAGACCCCTGACCAACTTTCCAAGTGTATCCCCCTACAACTCCTACCGCTGGACATGCAACAGACTCCTGTTCGTAACACGCAACTCATTGTCGGTAGAGGGTACAAAGATTCATGACGCCTTCGCATATCCCGTTATCGACGTGAACGCAAAAATAATGAGTCGGAGATCAATCTCTGTATTTTAACACATACGGGACAAAACATTTCCATCAACTTCAAAGCACTCAAGAAGGTATATGCAGCAGCTTGGTTAGGATTCGCTGACAATCTCATCTAATCTTTCAGTTTCTGTGGGTGACTGGCAACCTTACGTGGCGTAGTAGCCATACAACCTCGCAGTTTTGTGGGTGACTGGCAACCTAACGTGACGCAATATCCATTTAACCTCGCAGTTTTGTGTGGGTGACTGGCAACCTTACGTGACTCAATATCCATTCAACCTCGCAGTTTTGTGTGGATCACTGGCAAACTTATCTAGAATAGAACGCCCTTTGATGGGGTCTACTGCTGTACCTCTCAGGAAAAACATGTGCAAGATGATGACGCGTATGTATGCAGAACTCAACAAGGTATGCTGTAGGTTTATCGGAGCACACCCAAACGAAATCGGCGAAGACAAGCATCCAAGCACATACCAAAACCACTTGAGACGTAAAACGGTGAGCAGATCATAACGTGCCTGAGCGGGTCTACGACCCTAGTAGGCGCATGCTGATGGTGTTGCTGCTCGGCATCTCCAGTGTTATAACAACATCCGAAATTGGCTCTCAAAAACCTGTACTCTAACCTGGACATCGCCACTCGAATCGAACACACCCGTAAATGGGGCTACATGTATTACAGGACTGACAAGGATGCATGGTGTCCTTAGGGGGTAAGACTTCCCTGGTTTCCTCCCCCGGGGTGTTGGTCCTTCGCATTGCCCGCGCGAAGGACTCAACGAGACGGTCCTCCAACGATCGTGGCTGGTCTTCAGGTTGCGGGTCTAACGCTGTTCCAGCCGGCCGAGCATGCCGGGGATCGCCTCCATCGGGGGGCTTGTCCACGCTCTCTGATGCGGGACGCTTCTCTTCGGTAAACTTGATTTTTTCTTGTATTCCCTTCTCCACTTCCTCTTTGATGTGCGCCGATAATGCTTGGCGGTCCTCTTCAGTAAAGCTGCTGAGGTCGAGGGCTTC